TACCCATCACTCACATACTACCTACACACATGACCATCTACCATCAACAAACCTTACCTTACCCAACACTCACATACTACCTACACACATGACCATTTACCATCCACATACCCTACCATACCCAACACTCACACACTACCTACACACATGACCAGCTACCACCCACATACCCTGCCACACCCAACACTCACATACTACCTACACACATGACCAGCTACCACCCACATACCCGCCATACTCATCACTCCCATTTGCAAATATACACTCGGGATTTTATGAAAGATATTTTATTAGCAATTTGCCTTTTTCCTTGTTTGAACGCAGAAARACCATTGCTGCACACTTGCGGACTCCTGTGTACCAAACAGCAGTGACCCACGGAGGAGAACCAGAATGGGAGTTCTTGTGGGGCCAGTATCAAACCTCCATCGATCCCACTGAAAAACAAACCATAGTGAATGCTCTCTCTAGCGCGCTAAATATTAATCTTAGAAAGAGGTTAGTCTATTGTGCTTCGCATCTCCCTATTACAATCCCCCCCTCCCACCCCTCCCTCAGCCCTTCAATCACTTTATTTGCTTTATCACTGACTGGGATACTGTTAATGTTTTCAAATCAAGACTTCTAAGGTACTCGTYGGATGACAACAAGATCAAGACTCAAGATGTGAGTACGGTAATAAATAAAGTTGCGGGGCATGCGTATGGCAGAACTCATACGTGGGAGTTCTTTAAGGACAACTTCAATAAGATTATTGACAGGTAAGAATGTATTCTATTGGAACTTTTTGCTACACCACTACTATTGAAGTTCGTGCAAGATCAAAAAAATATGCTTCGCTTGTCACGCACAAAGGTTTCAATGCGAGGCTTCGTGCATAATGCTCAGTGATTCGTGAAAGGGTAAAAGCCTCGTACAAAACTTTTTACAATTTGTAATCAATTTTCCGCGATCAAAGTTTTAAATCCTGAGATATTCTAGCTAATTTGTTAAGCTTATGGGACATAGCAACGGTCGGTAACTAAGGGGAATCGGCACCATGAATTTGTATGAAACGTTTTCCTGGCCATGTATAAATCTGGACTTGTTGAGCTACCGCTGTTGTTATAAGTATTTTCTCAAAATATGGTTCTGTTTTGCAGAGTTGGACGGGATGACCAATTTAGCATTGATAGCATGCTAATGGCGGTGGCAAAAGACTTCAACGAGGAATCTCAGCTTCGCGAAGTTAGTTTTTTTTWAATTTATTGAAATATATGCTATGTTTAATATGTTAATGTATCGCGGAAATAAACACAACAACGACGTGCCTTATTTCAATGGGTTCATTTCTACAGTTTTCCATATCTGCGAACTCAAAAATTCCAACGACTTGTTGTTCACTGCCGCCAGTCAAGAACATAAAAGGTACCGACCGATCATCTTTGATTGACAGCAGCCAAAAAACCAAACTTCAGGCTGCAGCTTGTAGCTACCGAGTTTGCAGAATATGGAAAGCCGCAATAGCGAAATATCTAGCCTGTTTTGAAACATCCGTATCAATATCAATAACTATGTTCTTTATGTAAAGTGTATGCTACATCGAGTGTATAAGCAGACTGAAAAATCTGCCTCAGTTGGGTTCTCGCGGGACTCGAACCACTGACGTCTCGTTTCGTTTGCTAGACGAGGTCTCAACCGCTCGGCCACTGAGGCTTTACTATGTTCCTGTGTATTGTTTTTAGTTTGAAGCCCTGGTTGAGCAGCATCGGGATTTCCTTGGTGAGATGCGAATTGTCAAACAAGTTAAGGAGACCATTCGTACCAACATCGCGTGGATGAGAGACAACGAACAGAAGGTTTCAGATTTCCTGATAAGAAGAACAACTGAACTAGAAGGCTGAAAGGAACTTCGACGGCACACGCTTCCATTTTTATGCTTCCATCATAATACTTCGATAAACATACATGCTTCCATTTACTTGGACATGAGAAACATTAAAGGACAAGGAGAAGCCATTTTAGTAGGGTAGCATGTTGCATGCTTTACATGCTGAATATTAATGCAATGCATTATATTTTCCACTCAAATAGTCAAAAAGATGTTAATAAACTACAATTTTAGTTACAACGTTCAACAATCATTCTGATATTTAATGCAGCTAGTACTCTACTAGTTATCACCTCCTGATATCTAATGAATTTAGTATTTCGTACCATTACCCCAATTTGCAAAACTACTCGACCAATACAGCACAGGGACTGGGGTTTTGGTTCGTGTCAATCAAATAAATATTAGCTGAGACTGTTGAAAATTTGATTGACGGGGAAGCAAAAATTTGAACCAGATCGTATTGAGCTGGTAATGTAAAGAAAGCTTGGTACTTGTTTATAGACCATTTTCGAGTTCCTTGATTCCACACTCATTTTGGCTAAATCTCGTATAGAGTGTCTAAATATTTACAATACCAACGGTACAAGACCATTTGGAAAGACCAACCCGTAAAGTGAAGAATGAACACTACTTTGACAATGTGATGACGCAATTTATCGTCAATAAGAGGACAGACACATAAAAACTGATGTCTATTTGTTAATCTGACGAGTCCCGTACGAATAACAATCGCGATTGTTATTCGTACGGGAGTCGCGGTTCAGCGAATATTTACCAACATTTTTCACTCCCGTACGAATTATTCGCGATTGTTATTCGTACGGGAGTCGCGGTTAGGTAAAGACACAGGTAGCCCATAGAAATATCAAACGAAACCAACAGGTGTGAGTCTTCTCTCCAGAAGAAAAAAATTGAAGAAAAACAGGAATGTAGAAAAGAAAGAAAACAAAGGATTAAATAATAACTTAAAAAAATAAGCGAATATGAGAAGAATGGAAAACGAGAAAAAAAGTCATCAATTTAAAAAAAAACGGTCAAACGACCCCTTTCCTACCCTCCTAACTCAAGGACATAGTTTTTATAACTTGAAAAACGAGAAATCTAGTGCTATATTGGCGTCAATGCTACAATAAATCGGCCAATCATTAAATATTAATTTGACCTAACGACCTGTTCAAGACAAGTATCCAATGAGATAACATTTTAGGTCTCAACTTTGAAAAATCAACAGGTGCCACACTTGTCTCGTCAGATGCTATTCCAACATTAAACAGTAATTCTACGGCTGAAATAATCTATATAACTGGAGGAAAGTGACAGAGTCTATAATAAATACTTATACAAAAATATTTCCGTTTCTGGAAAATCAAATATATTGACAATATAGTGGTGAAAAGTAAGGCAGAGGGAGGAATTCGTTTACCTGTCGTTTACCAGAAATTCTGCCAAGATTTCTCCAAGATCGACGTCGTGTAAAACGTTTCCTAACATGGCTAATCAAGGGAGAAAAAGCGTTTGCAGTCAACGATGGTTCTTTATTTCATTAGTTCTTGTGATAGCCATCGGAGGAATGACTTTGTTTGTCTGTACCGCAGTGATGTCTAGCTCTCAAAAAGACGTCTCTCTGTACAAAAGAGCAGCTCTTTACATCAAGGAAAATGTCCAGTCGACATTTCAGTCTTCAATCAAGACCATCAAGAATACCTTCCAACGAAAAGAAAGATCTGTGAAGGTGAACGAATTCCCCTACAAAAAGATTCGTCTGCCAAAAGATATTCTTCCTTCAACATACAAACTATACCTTCGACCAGATTTGTCTTCAACCTTCGACTTTAATGGAAGCGTTTCCATCGACATTACATGTGTCAAACCTACCAAATACGTTATCTTACATCAAAAGAAACTGGATATTAAGAACTACAAGCTTCTGGATTCTTCAAACAAGGAGGTCAAGGTATTGCGAATGTTGCAGAACAAAGCAAATGAACAGTTTTTATTGGAAACACAGGATAATCTTGAGCCGGGGAAAAGTTACACAGTAATGCTAACGTTCACTGGTAATTTGATATCGAACAAAATGGCGGGATTTTATAGGAGCTCTTACAAGACTAAGAAAGGCGAAACCAGGTTAGTAAATCAAATATAAGGTAGGAACTGTGAAAATATGCCATTTTTTATTTTGCTTGTTCGTTTATTTTCTTTCGCCTCTAAAAGAATTTCGGAATACATAATATAATATCCAACTATGTTAAAAAGTGTTCGATTCATTGCCTTATGAAAACAACTCATACCTCTAAAAACACAATCCTCTTTTTTTTTACCAGATATTTAGCAACAACGCAGTTTGAGTCAACAGACGCTAGAGGCGCCTTCCCTTGTTTCGATGAACCAGAATTTAAATCTGTGTTCTACATAACCATTGCTCACAAGAAGAACTTTAGGGCTATATCCAACATGCCGATCAACAAGCGAGTCAAAGTCGCAGACGACTACGTGGAAAGTAATTTCAAGCCGAGCGTTAAGATGAGTACTTATCTGGTTGCGTTTATTGTGTCGGATTTTAGATTTACTTCCACGAAAACGAAAAGAGGAACGAAGGTAGGTGTTAGACGCAGTATGTTAGCTCTTCCTCATCCTCATCCTCCTCCTCCTCCTATTCCTTGTCCTTGTTCTTGTTCTCTTGTCCTTGGTCCTACTTCCATTTCTTCTTCCAGTGTTGACTTTATCTCTTAATTTTCTTTCTCCTAGATTCGTGTGTGGGCCTCCAAGGATAACCGAGAGCACACGAAGTTTTCATTGCGTGTGGCCAAAAGCGTATTGTCGTACTACGAAAAGTTTTTCAACATTCCCTATCCTCTTCCAAAGATCGGTAAGGAAACAAAAAAGCAACGGCTTGATATGCATTTAGATCACCGTACAGTATTTTCAAGACAAAATGAACTAGTTCATTTTTCTCTTGGTGTTTCATTTAAAGAAGGCTTTCTTGAAACTAAACAGGACGGTAAAATTTACCTGAAATCTCTTTTTTTCCATCGCTGTTCTAGACTTGATAGCCGTGCCTGATTTTGCGGCTGGTGCTATGGAGAACTGGGGCCTAATGACCTTCAGAGAGAATTACCTACTAAGTAACAGGGCTTCGTCTAGTGCAGCAGACAAACAAAATGTTGCTTTAGTGGTGTCGCATGAACTCGCTCATCAGGTAAAACAAGAAAAGTTGGACACTTTAGAACAGTTTTCGTATGATTGTGATAAGCTCATAGCACGAACAAGGTCCAACACGGCAAGGTATACGCAAGACCACTCTCATTGCATGGGAATGTACTCTTCATCCAATCAAATACCCGAAACACGGCATAAGCACGGGGTGCACACGGTGCAAAAATACAGCACCGAATTTTTTATAGTCAAACAAAAACTGCTTTAAGAATAATCAACACTGTAAGAAGCCCCGGCTAAAATATGGGCTTTGGACAGTCACAATGTGCATCGAACTAGGAAAAAAAAACCTCGAATCAAGGGAGAAACTAGGCTCGACTTCCAGCCGTGGTGTGAGTTTCACGAACGAGGGAGAGACCTATCAAACTCTAATCACGTGTGATAATAAGTTCGGGAATTGGAACCCAAAACCCCGATGCCAACTAAAACGAAGATAGCTAGCTCTAAGATGGAAACGAAAAAGCGAGTAATTTTTAAATTAATTTAAATTTCATTTTATGAGACATCTTATTTAAATTTGTAATGTGTTTTAATTAATCGAATCTCGAGAAGAAAACACTCCTTTCAGAGGCGGATCCAGGAATTTTAGAAGGAGTTTGACTATTACAAAGGTTTTACCAGGAATTTGAGGAAAAGGGTGTTGACTGTTATTAACGATACACTGAGAAATTTGAGCAAAGGGGGCTGACTAGTCATCCCGCCCTTTTACCACCTCTGGATCCACCCCTGCCTTTATCATTACAAAATAGTACTAGAGGTCAATCAATTAATCAAAATTAACCGACAAAGAATGGTTATTATTATTGTATGTTTATTCCAGTGGTTCGGTAACCTTGTGACCATGAAATGGTGGAATGATTTGTGGTTAAACGAAGGGTTTGCCAACTATGTAGAGTACATTGGTACGGATCACTACGCTAGAGGTTGGAAAGTGGTGAGTATTGGTAAATAGAACTCGTACTCTACCGCTGTGTTCAGCGGATTAGCCTCAAATCAGGGTCTAAATATTYACAAATACCAACCGGTAAAGTAAAGAATGCACAACTTCAACAATACAAACACTTTGAAACTTGACGGACCTTGACTGGAACACAAGAATATTCTGCACAAAATTGAGGCTAAACCTTTTGAGGCAATAGATAACTCGAAACTGGAGTTTTTACTTATTTAACCGATAAAATACATATTAAGTTTACAAATAAATAAGAAAACTGCACAACAATGGAAAAAAGCTTAACTCCCCGATGGTTGATTTATTTTTCTTTCTTCTCTAGCTTGATCAGTTTGTGACAGATACCCATCAGACTGCTCTACAAGTGGACAGTATGCAAGAGACACATCCCATCTCTGTACCAGTAACTCACCCACGCGAGATTACCGAGATATTCGACGCCATATCATATAATAAGGTATCTTACCTATTTCGGCTTTCCCTGTACAATAGACACCTTTTTAACTTGGGCGTAATGTTTTCCCATTTTATTCTTCTTGTAATTCTTCACTCCCCAGAGTATCGTGTCTTTGTTTAACGGTTGCGCATAAGAAGACACATGAATCTGGATACAACACAAACAAAGAATCTTATATTCTCAAGATTCTCAAGAGAATGACACGTGGTCGGATAAGGAAATAATGAATAAGTCTAAGCTAGAGCTAGGACTTTTTAAACACCTACCTTTTTAAATATTCCTAATTTACTTTTTAGGGATCTTCTGTGATTCGCATGTTGAGAGGTTTTCTAGGAGACAAAGCGTTCAAAAAAGGGTTGACGGTAAGTAACAACAACAAAAATGATTTCTTAAAACATACTTTTATCTCATCGAAAGAAATTCTTTATTTTTGTTTGCAGCGCTATTTAAACAAACACAGATATGGCAACGCAGAGGCAGATGATCTGTGGGCAGCGCTCAGCACTGTAAGTCAATTGAATCATTTATAATACTTGTAACGATGGATGGATGGATGGATGGATGGNACTGCCATTATTTATCAGCTGAACGTCGTCGTTGCAGGTGAGTCTGCAATTTAGAAAATATAAAAGTCAATGAGCAAATGAATTAGTGTATGGGCAAATGGATGGACGGACGGACGGTGGGATGGACGGACGGACGGTGGGATGGACGGACGGACGGTGGGATGGACGGACGGACGGTGGATGGATGGATGGATGGATGGATGGATGGATGGATGGATGGATGGATGCATGCATGCATGTCTTGCCAAACCAAGTAGCTACAGTATGAGAAAAAATACCTTAAGTAATCTTCATGACGAGTTGAATGTGCGTTTTTGATATCCACAGGTAGCCAAAGGTATCGACGTCAAAGCCATCATGGACACTTGGATCAAACAAGAAGGTTACCCAGTCATTGAAATCAAGGACACCTACCAACAGAAGAGAGGTGGAGCTACGACTAAGATGGCAACACAGAATAGGTTTTTTAGGGACATTAACCCATCGGATAAACGATACAATGACAAGGCAAAGGGGTAGGTATAATAGTGCCCCCAAATAAAGGGCTATCTAAAGAGACTGGAGATCTAGCTAAATCTCCGTACGACTAATTCTTAAGTAATATTGTGGTCAACGTACGTATAAACTAAATCTAGAAGAGGTTATACATACAGTTTATCGATATTCTTAAACAACCTCGACTGGGCTGATCGAAGTCAGGGCACAACTAACACCTCATCCTCAATGGACTCACATCGATCCGATTTTCTTCTTTTGTTTTTCAGTTTTTCCTGGATCGTACCTCTTTCTTACGTGACAGCAGATGCTGCAGACAAACCTGTAACCATCTGGATGAACAAAACCTCAGGTAACTAAAGGGTTTTGCTCGTGTGAGACGGAGGGGAGGGGGGTTGTGAAGCTAGCATGATTGGTCATCTTCTCTTAAGTCCCTCTATTTGCAATCGCAAAATRATTTTTCGTCAATTCGGCTGCTTTGGACCCTTCTCAAAAGTATCGTAGATTCAAGGCTAGCATGGAAATACAAAAGAAATGCCACAAATTCCATCGAGAAAAAGTGTGATTTGTTGTTTATTTCCATGCAAGTTAGCTTCACATCCACGATACTATAAGAAAAGTGTATTGATATCTGAAAAAGACTATCGGATACTAGTTTGGACTGCGTGTGTGGAATACAGCAAGTGAATAATTAAGATGGAAACTAGCTCGGCACTGTGTAAAGAAACTTTAGTTGGAACTAGCCTGGTGTATGTTTCGGATGTCAGAGTCCTTTATTTGGTGTCGGATTAAGAATGGATAGCTACTGAATTTCAACTGTAGGAGCTACCAACGCACCTTGACCAGAATTGAACGTTTATTGTTGTTATTTTCAGCACCACTGCATGCATCGTCTGGAGGTCAATGGATCAAAGCTAACGTAGGGCAGATGGGATACTATCGAGTAAACTACGACCAGGACAACTGGAACAAACTGATCAAACAACTGAACGACGATCACTTGGTGAGTAATGGACCTTCTCACGGTTCACCAGCTCCTCGGATCGTTGAGGGATGGGAATGTCGAGGATAAAAACAAACTTGATATCCAGGGTTTTGTTGTAGATGATTTTTAAAAATCGCAAGTTGCCTTGGAAAAGAATGTTGTTGTACACAAGATAATTGCTTTTCTTGCCGTCGATCTTATCGAGTGTTCATTCTTTTTTCTCTTTCTTGATCAGGTACTCCAACAAACTGACAGAAGTGGTTTAATAGACGATTCGTTTAACCTTGCAAGGTAAGAAATACTTCGCCTATAATATTGTTGTACTGACTTACATCTAATTAACGCCGGCTCATATAATCTCATTCTGGCATTAAGATGAACTAGATGCAAGGGGTGTTTACCATTTACCCGGAAAAACCCGAAATTCCTGTTGAAAAAAAAAAAAAAAGTATGTGTCATTCCGACCGGTTTAAGACTTGGTTTAAATGGTAAGCATCCCAAAATTAGACTTCAGTGTTTTCGACGCATCCAATAAAAAAGTTTGTGGTCTCATGTGAGTTCAAAAACTATAGAGAACCAGTACTCACGGTTTGTTTTCTACTATCTTCTCAGAGGAGGCTATCTTGACTTAAAGACTGCCTTGGAATTAACATCTTACCTCGACAAGGAGAGAGACTACATCCCTTGGACAACAGCTCTGTCCAGCCTTGGATTCATTGGATCTCAATTGAGTATGAAGCCTGCTTTTTCGAACTACAATGTAAGATTTTTTTTGTAATTTATACACTACATGAGAGAGGAAGAGAGCAAAAACTTAGAAAAATTTGAAGATCTGGACACCATCCTAAGTAATTCAAATCTCATGCAGATCCTTTGGAATCTAAAATCAATTCCTATAGTCCCTTTCACAATTCCATGTGTGTCATCTTGAATGGTAGCCGTGCATTTGCATCGAAGCGAGACGAACGGTGATCTTGCAATGATAGACACATAGTAATAGTTGTCCAAGGTGTTAAAAAAGGTCTCTATCATTACAAGCTCACCGTTCATCTCACTTCGATGCAAATGCACGGCTACCTTTCAAGATGGCGCAGGGAACTGTGAAAGGGAATTAAATAAAATTAAATATTCGGAGCATTATCTTTCCCTTACGAATTATTTTTTGTAAGCATAACCTGCATAACCAGTATTAGCTCAAAGCAAACTTTGGGTAGAAAAAAGGGATATGGTAAGGGGAGGGGTTGTAGGTCCTTTTGATTGGTTATCTGTAATACCTTGTTGAAGAACTAAAGCGTACCGATGTGGATTTGTTGAATGCAGAAATACATAAGAGCCAAAGTCAAGCCATTGGAAGAGTATGTCGGATGGGAAGACAAGGGCGATATCCTTAAAAAGTAAGTTCATTTTGATTAGTGACGCAAGGAAACGTTTAGCTGCTCTACAGTCCTACCCATGTTCGTGAAACTAACGAGGTCTGTCTTGAATCGAAAGTGCAACAGAGTTTTTAAGTTGTGTCGTGTTTCCGGGTCCAATTGCTTACAAAAACCACTAAAATAACTAAGCGAAAATGTTCTCGTTGATTTAACCTCCACCTAAAACAATTATTACTTTGAACAACAAATACTGCCATGAAGAAATTGTCAACCAGAAAATCTTTGTCGATAGAACTGCTTTTGGTTTTCGACCCCGTAGTCGTTTTCCATTTCGATGAAGTCACACTTAAAGATTGAAGAGTTTTGAGTTTTCTGTAGCTCAGGATTAGCCTCGATTTTTGTATAGAATAATCACGTGTTCCAGTGAAGGTCCGTGGAATTTCAAAGTGTGCATTTTTTTACTTTTTCTTTACCATTGGTATTAGTGAATATTTAGACACTGATATGAGGCTAAGCCTAAATGAGTATGGAATCAAGGAACACAGCGGTAATTTGGAACTCGAAAATGGTTTATAAACAAGTACCAAGCTTTCTTTACATTACCAGCTCAATACGATCTGGTTCAAATTTTTGCTTCCCCGTCAATCAAATTTTCAACAATCTGAGCTAATATTTATTTGATTGACATGAGCCAAAAATCTAGTCTTGTGCTGTGTTGGTCGAGTAGTTTTGCAAATGGGTGTGACAGTTTTTCACGGTTTTGGGAAACCTTTCTTCCTCTAGGTACCTTCGCAGTAGTGTCTTGTCGTCTCTAGCCAGCCATGGAGATAAAAGTACCTTGGATGCTTGCATAGCAAAATTCCAAAAATGGATGCAAGATGACAAGTAAGTTGTATTATCTGATCGACGCCTGAACTGAATCAAGCAAAAATTTATATTTACTGGGATACCTATGGTTTTGGGAACAGTTCTGCGGGACATTTGAGGGACGTTTTGTCATAACATGGAAAAGTTGCACAACAATTCCCGTAGTCTACCCGCAGTAAGATATAGAGGTCTTTGCGTACATCTGTTATGGGGTTCTCGTTTCAAACTAATTCAAATTAAACGAATAAAAATGTCCACAGTATTAAATAAGTTTAGTTGCCTAAAAAACCTGTTGGTAATGAAAATGAAACAAAAAATATATACTGGTCTACCTGTGGAAAAGCTGTTGTAAAATGGGTTTGAATGTTTGATCACTTCTGCGGGATATTGCCCGCGAAAACCCGCAGTCACACATACATTTCTGCTTCAGGGTTTTCGTTTCAAAAGATCAAAATATTCACAGTAATGGAWTTTAGTTGCCCTGTTTCTAAAGAAAATTGTTTTTGATCGTTTGACACAGGTTCACCATTGAAACCCACATTCGTGGCGTTGTTTATCACACGGCCATCAAATATGGAGGCGAAGATGAATGGGAATTCTTATGGAACAAATACGAAAAATCCATCGACCCGACAGAAAAATCCCGAATGTTGCATGCTTTAAGTGGTACACGAGAGGTGCCTCTTCAAGCCAGGTATGTAACTATTCTTGAAGTGCAACCACGTGACCGGAAAATCCTTTCAGTTGAGGTATAATAATGAAACAGCCGCCATGTTGGTTGATCTCACAAGAGAAACTTAGTGAGGAATGCTTTGTATAGCCAACCAATATGGCGGCTATGACGTAACGCACCCCAAGAATACTGTAAAAAAGAGCTTCACTTTTTAGCGTAACCGACGATTTGCGAGCATTGGCTCGAGTTAAAGGACAAAGACATGGCGGCCATGTTGGTGGTATAACAAAGGTGGCTAATGAGAAATCTTGTTAAATACATACCACCCGCATGGCCGTTTTCAAGTCGTAAAATGTAAATGTCACGAAGAAACGCGAACGAAAAGACTTGCAGCTTCTGAAGCTGTCTGTATCAGAGAAGCACAGAAGGTGCTCTAATAGGCCTATTTTTGTGTAACATGTAAATGTCATGGACGGAAGAAACGCGAACGAAAAGACGTGCAGCTTCTGAAGCTGTCTGTATCAGAGAAGCACAGAAGGTGCTCTAATATGCCTATTTTTGTGTAACATGTAAATGTCATGGACGGAAGAAACTCGAACGAAAAGACGTGCAGCTTCTGAAGCTGTCTGTATCAGAGAAGCACAGAAGGTGCTCTAACATAATGCCTATTTTTGCGTAACATGTAAATGTCATAGACGGAAGAAAATCTAACGAAAAGACGTGCAGCTTCTGAAGCTGTCAGAAACACGAAGGCGCCCTATTTTAATGGCTATTTTTGTGTCAGGTATCTTCAGTACACATTGGATGACAGCAAAATCCGCGCACAAGACATCACAAGTGCCTTATCCTACATGTCTGGTCACCCTTACGCAAGACTCCTGGTGTGGGACCATTATAGACAAAACTTTGACAAGATCAATGAAAGGTGGGTAGCAATCTCGTACCCACCAGAATCTTTATTTCTTACTGCGCAAGCTCGACGAAATAAATAGCAATATTATTTGTTTCGTCGAGCATGCGCAGTAAGAAATAAAGGGTCTGGGTACGAGATTGGGTGGGTAGTTAAAATTGTAAGTGAATTTAGCGATTTTTTTAACTCGCTCGTATCGCGTCAAAAACACTTGGATACTTTCTGAATTGAGCACATACAGTAGCTCAAACACTGAAAATTCACAATTATCTTGGAGCCGCCTTGAACGAACCGACCGCTTGATGAAGCTTCCAGTACCAGTGAATCAACTAAACAGCCATTGATATAGAAAATACTAACTTCATTAACTTGTTTTATAGGATTGGCAACGACCCTATGGAACTCGGTTATATGATCTCAGCTATGACACGCGCATTTAACGAAGAGTTTCATCTTAAACAGGTTCGTTGTTCTTATGCAAGGGTATTTTTATCTTTAATCTTTGATGACATATTCTTAAACAGTAAAGACTATGCTAAGTCACCTTAAACGAACGAAGAACTCAACTCACATGTCGGTTTTTACGGAGGTCATTATTTAGGCAGAGAAGAGCGGATTTTGAAAAAACCCTCTGAACGGCCTCAAATCGCGCTGAAACTTCGTCAGAAGACTGAACAAAGCAAAAGCAACAACTGCAGCAAGTTTTGAGGCAATTTTTTTGAGTTAACCATTTTAGTGTCATGAATTTATCATAACTCCCATACATTCCCTTATAAACCATACACAGGAATCTTGTTTGGGCTGCCTGTGCCTCAAACAAAACCKCTATTCACATGTAGCGTCTACAGGAATCGAAGCCGCGACTCAGCCTGTGGGACTGGTTTTACGGAGCACTACGCTACTGTTGCCATCTTGGCTATTTAGACAAGAAGCGGAAGATTCCTTTCGCCCTATCATCAGGATCCACGGGTCTTGATCACGCGTTTCTGTCGCATAAGATTTGGGAGAGAACAACACCAGCTATAGAGTGCATACCATATATATCTGTGAAAAACTTTGTAAGACATTGCACAAATTAGACTATAAGTTCAATAGACCTCAATAGACCGTAGACCTATAAAACTTTGCACTAATTTGTACAATTTTGTTAGTTAACTTTTTCATGGATATATGCTATGCACTTTACTTCCTGCTTTTTCCTAAGATTGTCTTTATTTTCCTTCAGGTGTTGGCGTTTGTCGATGAACACAAAGACGTCCTCGGTTCACTGAGAGCTACACGAAAAGCCATCGAACAAATCCGCTCCAATATGGCCTGGGTAGAAGCTAACGAGAAAGTCGTTACCGAATGGTTAGAAGGCAAAGTTAAAGCCATAAAAGAATAAGCCTGGCTTGAAATACCACCTTTGAACTCAGCTCTGACTCCTTTGAACTCAGCTCTGACTGGGTTCGCTTTATGGTTTTAAAAACCTACGAGTACGAGGTTACAACAAAACCTCGAGGGGGAGGGGGACAGTGCGATAACAAGCACTACCTCAATTTATTTGCGACGCGAACAACATGGCAACTTGTATTGAGAAAAAAAACAAACAAAATACATAGCTATCGTGTTAAAAGTATACATCCTCCGACGGAGGTATTCTTCTTTCGCTGTAAACTATATTCTTTCAGTTCGTAATTTGTTTTCTTTTTACTGTTTTGTTGTTGTTTTTAGTTTTGTTATCGGAATGGCTGAATCGATGAAACTCGCCGTATTTACTTTCAAAACATGTATTTATATTCCTCTAGGTGTAAACCTCATAATAAAGTTCATGTTGAAAAATGTTGCGTGAACCTTTTAAACTAAAAGCTACTCTTAGAGTAAAAAACCTTCTAAAATGCAGGTTTTCATAACAGAAGTAAAGTTGTTCGATAAATTTTATATTCTATCATGATGTGGGGAACTCTCACTAATGGGCTCCCTGTGGTCGTAGCGGCGGGAACTTTCGCGCCAAAACGCGCTCGCTCGCCAATGCTATTGAGAGATTTTCAAGCTATGAGAAAATCTATTAAACTGATAAATAGAATTGGCGTTTTTATTTGCAAATTATAGGCAATTATTTCTTTTACACCATCCGCTGTGAGCGTCAAAGCACTTCACAATGGACGTAAGAATCAGCTTCTAAGCAAAAATAAATTTACAGTATTTACAACGTTATTCATAAATACCAGTCTCTCAATTACAAAACCTGCAAAATTATATTTGACATTTGTTCAATATTATAGCATTGCGGTTTCAGTGACGTACTAACCGGAATAATTTAAAGGCGGCTAGCTGTTTCCTCAAGATCCAGTTTTTAATTCTAACAACAAAGGGAACTTTAGGACGTGATTTTACATTCATTCCCCTCCCCCCCCCCCCCC